TTATTAAAAATGTTTACCTTATATCACACACGTTTTACCCGGTTCATACATGATAGGGACTTTTGTTAGTCAAGCCATACCAGAGTACAAGTAATACTGACAAACACAGGCTCGAACCCCGCCGAAGCCTGAATCCTTTTTTTTTCAGGCTTTTTCTGGACTTCCTGATTACGGTTTATCTGCGACGATCATATCTTTAATTGTCTGTCACCGGCAGGCCGAAAACATGATTAATTTTACATACGCCAAAATTTCGGGGCACGTGCTGTTTTCAAGTTAAATTTAACTTCAATGCTAATAGTCTCTTTTATTTGAACTAAAATGTTGTCCTTACCTATGTGAGAGTTCCTTACCCTTGGTCAAACTGTCCGGAAAAAAAGGGAATGGAGCAAGAAAAAGTAATTAGAGGGTTGAAATAATCACAGAAAGTTCCTATAGATACCCATCTACATTATGCATACAACCTATCATTCTGGTCTATTCTGCCGAAAGAAATATATGATACAACAGGTAGGAATAATAACAGGTCAGGATTGTGGTTGCAAGTCGCAGGTTCATTATTGCAGCTTTGTCGTATGAATTGGGAAATAAGGAGAGGTATTTTTAAAAGCACGTAGTCTTTTGACGAGATCGAATGAGATCTGAAAGGGTGAGATATTAAAAACAAATATAGATAGTTGCGGTGGCAGCTAATGGGCCGATGACGGCATTATTAGATTTTGAGAGTTAAAATTCTTTATTGCTAATGGATGATTGTTTGCTTTTCAAGAGTATGAAAACATTAAAAATAGTTTTTTGAGCATTTTTTGCACAAATTGAATGGTGAAAAGAATAGTTTTGTAACCATATTTTAAAATTCATTGACGGAATCTTTCTGCCAAATAATAGTTAAGATCCAATAATTTCTTTATTGACCGAGCTTGTTAGATCCTGACTTGTGGCATTCGCGAAGTCGTTCACTGAGTTTCAATTAGAACTGGACCTTGTCTCGAACCATACAAACGAAGAAAACGAGAAAGCTGAGATAATATCCAACCGTGTATACTTTAAATTCGGTCAATAACGCGTAGATGTTTTTCTTGTCATACCTAGCTAGCTACTGGAGGCCAAGTCTCATACAACGAAATCGATGCTGTACTTTGATGTCGTCCGTTCGCACAATGATAGAGATGAACATTTGCAAATTCTTCGTTTCATTATTAATATATAAATATATGTATATGCGCAATTTGTAAAAAGATTGGCATAGAAATACGGAAATAAACTGTCTAACCGGGAGAAGTGGTTAAAAAGAATAACTACGCGTTATTCGAGCACAGAGACCACTTTGCGTGGAAAATAATGAAGAAAAGAAGAAACTATCAATGGCGAAATTGGCGTACCTCTAAACTTTCTTTGTGATTAGTTGAATGGTTTGAAGTGTACCACCAGGTAGATTGGACTACAGCTTTTCTCTATAAGTGTCGTGCGCGTATCATTTTAATTACGAAGAAAATCGACCACACCAAACATCTTGAGCAAGGCTCGACTGATTTTTTTTCCAATTCCAATTGCTAGCTTCATAAACACAGGATTGGGGATCTGCTTGCGTTTTTGAATAAATGATATTCACAATGACCATCCTAGATTGTCGGGAGAACATAACTTTTATTTGCAGTTTTCGGAAAGTCTGTCTGTCATCTTGGTTGCATAACCGTCATAGATTCAATGCTGAGATACCTCAGAGGAGATTTAGTGTTTTGATGTTCTCCTTAATGCTCAATTCGCATCATTAAAGATCATGAGAACTGGAATTTATTGCAATTTATTAAATTTTTATTGCTAAGTGGTTTGCTTTTAGGTTGCAGAAGAGGAAAAAGTCGCTGTTTCGCAGAACATCCGAAATTAGCTATGAGGTTAAATAAATTTAGTAACACTTCCTACAAAGTAGGCACAAATATCAAGCACTCACCTTGATACAGGAAAAGTTGGCTATGTTGGTGATACTATTTTCCTCGTAGAATCACGAAAAATCTAGCAATTTTTGACCACAGATAATTTTTTTGTCAGCAGGTGTTTGCACTAAAGTACTGAACGCTTAATAAGGTATTTCCCTGAGCTATTTCTTTTTACAATATGACGCACGCCAGCCAAATGTAATTTTCTGACCTTACCGATGTATTTCACACGATTATCCTAATCAGCATTAATAGACATGAATACAACACAGCGAAAGGAAACGGAATTGTTTCACATCGAATTGAATACGATAGTATCAAACAAACCTGACAGGAATATATTAAAAAAAAAAAAACAAACAAAAAACAAAAAGCTGAACATGTCTGTCCCTGTCAATTGAGAAAAAAAAAGACAACAACGAACAAAGCGATCGCAGATAGACGCCCAAATTTATTCTGAACGTGGGCATTTACTTACTTATTGTCTTATGATATCTAGAGCTGATGTTTAAATGAGGGCACAGGAGGAACTTTGAATCAACCAAAAGTGTATCGAAACGTTTTTCCACGTTTGAAATTGAATTTTGTTAATTTGATACAGGTTTTCTTTTGTCGTAATAAGTAGTGACAAAGGGGGATGTTTATCTGAGAAGGTGCAATTTAACAAAGCAAGTGTGACTCAGGCAGGTGGTTATGACCAATGAGCTTTGACTGTTTCTTGAGAATCATGGCATGTGATATTTACACATATCCCTTTGGCAAAATAAAGTGGTTTATTTCTTTCAACTACGATTTCCTTTGGCTAACAATAGCAGAAGATTTCGCCCAATTTAGAAATGTTCTATATTCTTTGTTCGCGTCATTCTATCTCATTGACAAGTTTGGCTAAACGTTTACAATGAAACATTTTTATCCTATACCGGATCGTTCACAATAATTTTGGACCCAAATTTTTATTGGGGAAATTCCATTTTTTAGATCACAAACTTGACGATTAAGGCTATGACTAACGTAGGGGAAAAAGATGTGAGATTTGAGATTTGACGCAACCATAGCGAATTAAAACAATTGCTTAATAACCCCTTATTAATTTTTTCGCAACCTCTACGCATGTCCGGGATGGATAGAGTGACTATCAGCTGACAAAAAAATTGACATTAAGGGGCCAGTCATTTCTTATTACAGGGGAAGGGGGGGGGTTGCGTAGGATTTTGGAAGGGGATAAAATGGTTTTCAGGGGGAGCAGAGGGGGGATCAGTTGTCGCTAACCGCAGGGTATAAATGTCTGTTGTTTGGTACATCCTATTTCGTCATTCGTTTTGTTCTGAGTTTTGATGGAACTAACCTACCACTACGATTTTATTGTTTATAAAAAACTTATGACCCAGTGACTTCATTTTTTATCAAAGTGATAATTTTTACCTGTATTTCGCACTTCCATTAAATGAAAAATATTATTCTCTATTTGGTTTTCCATCATTATCATCAGTATCTCTACTATGTCGGTGGCAGTTACTTAGCCAACACAGTAAACACTTATAAAATGTAAAAGTAATGTTACATACATGTCCAACTGTAAAATTTCCAGTATAATGAGAATTAGTCAATACATATTAACACGTCCTTGTTGAAATAAAAAAAACTGAGATAGTTCTTAAATCGCCAAGAAACTATAACAAGGAGGAGCTGATTCCAACCTCAAGCCTAGTTATGGGAAAGGAGAACCGAAACACTACTTTCTTTCGATAACGTTTAACAAGAGCAAGCTTATGGTTAATCCATTAAAATGAAATATCGCTAAATTTTTACAAAATTTTGCGGATTTTGTTATTATCAAGACCCAAAATAGTTTTTTTCAGAAAGATCAACTGAGATCTTTTCTTCTTTCTACAAGGCTACACCTATACAGATTTTCAAAATTTATTCAGCATGAAGGTGACTCTCGAGGACCATTTAAAGGTCGTTTCTATGGATGTGGGTCGCTGTTGTAGGCTTTTTCTTTAGTTAGTAAATACAGTGTTTATCTATAAGCCCGACGCAACTGACGCGCGTTCTTTTTAGGTTATCTACCAGCTTTCATGTTACTAGTCGAGCATACAAAACTTCTATTCTTGGGTATTAAAGTTTGCTCTCTCTTTGCATAGCTCCGGGGGCACTTACTTTCAGTTCCTGAGATGGTGTACTGTCAGATTGAGATTGCTGTGGCGTCGGATAGTTTAAGCTTAACTCTTGTCTTCCAAATTTGTCTACCAGCCATGCAATTGCTGATATGGTCATAAAAGCCCTTTTAAAAGAGCGCATGCGAAAGGCGTAAAGAAACTGATTCGAAGCAGAGTTAATCAGAATGAACAAGAACTGCAAGTCTCGGAGCCAGTGGATAAGAACACAGTTGCATGTGTGACATAAGTTAATGATGTAGACCATCACACAAGAAGGGAAAGAACACAATATAAATGCAACTGCTATCATAAGAAGAGAGTTTGTTGCCTTCTGCTCGCGTTGCACTTGCTTTTCTCGTTCCAACTCGCTGCTCTGAATGTGTGCAGAAGTTTTCCTGTGTCGTTTTAGAAAGTGACACACACGGAAGTAAACGAAAACAAGAACGATCGAAGTGACAACAATTGCAGCGTTAGCAAAGATGAAAGCCAGTCTAAAGAAACCAACAACACGATAGAGAAGAGGAAGACTAAGAGAGAGAATCCACAGAGAAACAGACACTTTGATTGTGCGACTAATGGAATGCTGTGCACGATGTAAGCGGTATGACCTAACCGCCTGGTACCTGTTGACTGCTAATGCCACAATGCTGAGAACCGAGACCGTCGAAGTAAAAAAATATGACACGTGGACCACCCACTGAACACTCAGGAGTTCTTTTACCATGAGGGCTTCTTTGACGTGGAAGTCAACAAAGACTGGATCTGTGATCAGTCCTATGATGAGGTCGGAAATGGCGAGGTTCACTACCAAGTAATTGAATGAAGTTTTCAGCTCTCCGGTTGGGTTCCGTATCACAGCCCAGCAGATAAGCAAGTTGCCGGGCACGGTAACAAGGGTCAAGATAGCGGCCACCACTGATGTCGTTATAGAGGTCGCGAATGGGGCCCAGTGATCTTGGCAGTAATTGGATTGGAAGACCATTTTGTAAAAGTATGAGGCTATGAAAAAATGGAGGCCACAGTGATCAAACTTTGCTAAAACGCAGCCTTGCAATTAACTGGCGTCAAATCCCTGCCTGCATATTCTAACCTGATTTGATTTATAAAAGACTCAGGAAAAAAGTTATTTTCTGTAAATGCAATTGTGTTACTTTCGGATTAATTACTGACTTTCTAACTGCGCTACACAATTCAGTTGATTTTACAATTAAAATTTTACTTTTCAAATACTACGCGAAATACATGAGTGTTGTTCAATACTCCTGAATCGACACGACTCGTCAAATGCATCTTATTAGTGCGACTTAGAATAAATAGTTGGAGAGGAGGGCGAATGGTTCGCTGAACAATTATCTGAATCGTTGGACACGGACGAATCGTGAATGGAAGTTACAACTCGTGGTCGGATGCTTTTATTTCCTTTGATTCTTCTGGTAAGATTTCGAATAGGAGTTAGTAATCTACCTCCAATAATAAGATTGTGGTGATTTTTCTTACAGCCATCCATCTCTCACTTGTTCGTGTATGTTTTGAAATTCATTGTTTGCATTCCTGCACGAATAATCTAGTGTGGTTGAAAATATGGCAAAATGTGTAATTCTTCGCTGCATGTGCTTACAGAACGATGAACACATATATTAGCTTTTTTTATTGCTTTGCTGTACGATGAAGTGAGTATTCTGCGCGAGATAAGGAGTGTTGTTCATGATAAAGAGAAGGGAGAACGTTTACTTCCTCAGGGCCCGTGCTTTTAGAACGACGCATACAAATCTTGGCCTCCTGTTTGTTTTGCGGTACGAGTTATGGAATGTTGTTCAAAATATAGAGAAGTTAGGAAGTGTAACTCGTACGCTAATTTTCCTCATAGTACAATTACGTCATAAACATATTGGCTTCTTTGCTTTTTTTTTCCCGCGCGAAATATCGATTGTTGTTCAAAACATGAAGGATCGAGCGATTCCACAAATCTTTCAGAGCACCCTTCTCCCGCCTCTCTCACGATATATTCAGTCGAAGTCCCACAAATGAGATGCCTTCCATGACTCGACCACGAGTCGGGACTCCTATTCATGATTCGTACGAATGAGATTTGACAAACTATCTCATAAAGCAAGTAATGCAATATTACCAGGGCCTATACAAAGCCAAATTCACGAGGCGATAATGGCGCTATTCTTTTCGAGACCAGGAAGCAGTCAAACGACAATGCACATACTAGATTCTTGAAAGACTCACTAGCATAACAAGGGGCCGTCGTGTGGAACTTATTTAATAAAAAAAAAAGATACACGTATAAACTCTAAACTCTAACAAACTCTTAAATCAACTCCTGAGTATGACATTCTCGGGGACTACACCTTCCACAGGTTATCTAACTCTACCTCTCAAAACAGGCAAATCGACTACGCTTATTTTGAAATATGTAATAATAATATAATTTATTTTTTATCACTTTTTAGGTTTATATGTACAGTTTTAATATAATTTACTTTAATCGTAATGACAACATTTTATTTAATATTTCTTCTAAGGGTTATTTTACAAGTAGTTTGCATGTAAGTAGTTTTATTTAATTATATCGCAGTGAACAAGACCCCAAAAGCTTTTAGCTTTTATTCTTATCGGGTAAGTGTTAAGGTTCTATTCAATTCTATTCTGCTCGTTCAGGGAACCATATTCCTACCTCTCTCATTATTTATTCTACGGATAATGGTGCATTTGTCGGATTGTCAACTTAGCTTCACGATTTGTCAACTCAAACAGATCGATATGCAGAAAGTAATTTCGAGTCGTATCGGTTATTGAGCATTGGACATGTGTAGAGTCGCGTTACGTCGAAATAGTTTCGCGGATAATCACTGAAAGACCACTCACCGACAAGGAAAGTTAAAGTTAGCCGCTATAGAACTTCGCTGATAAAATATCTCCAAGTTCTTTCATCTGCACCCCGCGTCAGGCTTAGCTTGAAAATGACAAAACCAGAATTCCGTGGGCAATTTATGAGATTTCAAGAGCTGATAACTGCAAGAGAGTGAAATACCGCTAAACCTCAATAGCTGCACAATATCATTTCGGGTCATGGATGTTTTCAGGATTCTGAATAAATTAAAGCGTCACGATTGGCGTGGAAAAGCATCACAACAAACTATTTCCCCCAGCGGGATCTGGGAAACTGAAGAAGACTTTTCGTCAGAGGATTTTCTAGGCGGGTATATTGTTAAGCCCAAATAACGGAAACGCTTGATCAAGATAAATTTGCGAGAACAAAATTGCTTTATTTGATTCCAAACTAATAATGTCAGAAGCCCATTGATGGCCTCGTGATAATGTCAAATCATGGCTCGATGTCAGTTTCGAAAGCTCTGTTTTCTCCATCTTCGCGCTTCATTAGCTTTGCAACTTCGAGATCAGTTTCAAGGTTATGTTTCGAACTGACACGTGTTTTGCTTCGAACTCTTGCGCTCTCGCTTCCGGAGAATCCAGTGCTCTTGAAAATTTCCATTTTATCTCATTTACCTCACCGCCCCCCTTTCAGAACTTCCGCTCAATATTCCATCATCTTTGGGTTTTCTCCGAAATTTCAAGAAGGTCAAACACACCAAAAAGGCAGCTGAATATCCTGCAAAACAATAAAGGAATGAAAAATTCATCATTTTGGGTGGTTTTCATTGTCATGCATATTGCTTTTCCCTTTTCGAATTTTCTCTTTGAAAATAACCGCAAAATGGCTCTTCTAGTTTCATCACATTTAGACCGTTTAAATTCTTAAATCTTCAACTATCCCAGTTTCCCACGATGTCGTTTTTCATTCTCTAATACTGATGATCTCAATTTTCTGAACATACAATCAGTAAAATAAAACCATCGAATCCAAGCTAATCCAGCTATTATCTTCAACATAGATACAACTTGTACCCTCTGGTACTCTTTGTAAGATTTCTATGCTCAATCCATGTGAAATATCTTGGTTCTTCTGAAAAATGGACAAATCAAATCTCAGAAATTTTCAGATTCTTCCCTGTGGATCCCAATGTTCTTAAAAGAATTCTCTTTTTGTGTGTTTTTCTTTGTCTTGGGTAAGTTTGTTTGTTTTTTCTTAAAATGTTTAGTTTCCAAGGGTTCGAAACAACTTAATCACACGTAGATATCTTATCGCACGAATTAAAAATATGCCTTCATGCGTCTTATCAAGTCAACACTAATATTCAGTAAAAGCAAGAGGTTATATGGGGTACCCTCATTTTCTAAGCGCACAGGACAACAATTAAGACCCATTGACAGCTACAGAATTACATGAACTTTTCTTCCGTCTCAGCAACTCTTCAACGTTATTTTTACCATTGCCCTTACTACAAATACCCACAACAACCTCAAACATCTTAATAAAAACTTTGAAGAGAATAATAACAACATTTTGTTTATGTGAGTTTCAGACTTGATGGGGAATGACGTTTTGATTTTCCACGCCGCGCAGTCAATTCGCTAGCCTAAAATGGCTCGTGTTCAAATAGCGCTTGTTCAAACTTGTTTAATTTGAACTAGCCAATTGTTATCCAATGTTGAACCTAATTTCAGATACATCGCTGTGAAGTGTACTGTCTTCTTAATTATAATTGCATGATTATGCGTTGCAAAATTTTCGTAAGACTGACTATGAGGGCGATTTTCCATGTATGTGCTGAGATCGATAAAGAGTGACTCGTCCACGCAACGGATTTGGGGACTATTTATCAGTCTGGAAGTTTATGAAAACCTAGTTAATGACAGTTTTCACACTATTATCTGAAAGTATTCCAGCTGCTATGTTTCTAGGCCTGTTGCCAGAGCCTTAGCTTGTAGGCCATATAAGCAACCAATTTTCCAAAAAATATTTCATACCAGAAAAAAGACTTTTATCTAAAGATGCATACCCACCAGGTTTTCCCTTCCACTTGAATCTTTACAAACCGACATTCTTCGGAGAAATGGTAAACATTCGCGTTTACTCGTATCAAGTCGTACAAAGCTCAAAATCTACCATCTTTCTTAACTTATCAACTCCCATGACGCTTGTTCGAGATAAGACAATGTTATGACTCAGGACCTATTCCCATTAGTAGAACAAACTAGAATTGTCCCGACAAAATCAAAGGACAAATTTTTGTCTCCACTGTTGCATTCGCACTAAAAATGTCGAAGCTGTCAAAAAGCCGTCAAATTCGGTTAACAGCTTAAAATAACGCCGATATCATATTTCAATCAGCTGTGCGCGCCAAACCATCAAACGTTTTGGCGGGACAATGGAACACGTTCAAATGTTTCAACTTGTGGCGTGTTTCTTGCTTTTAAATTTCGCTCAGATGGCAGACGAAATGATGCATATGATGAGCTTAGTATTAAGGCATCGATTTCTAAGACACCAAGCAACTCTTTTAATGGTTGAACACCGTAGAAGACGGAAACGCCGGGCACGTCGACACGACCCGTACTTTGCGGAAGTACTACGATGACCGAACAATTCCCGTGGAGTTTTTTAGTAGGCATCTGCGAATGGATCGTTGTACCTTCGATATTCTGTTGAATGTTTCGCAACCTGCTCTAACACGCGAAAACAAAAAATTGCGTGACAATAATTCGCCAATGGAATAAAACATTCCAATTACCGGGATTCATCTTAAGTTAAAATTGTAAAATCTGCGAGTTTCGCAACGAAGGACAATTACTGCAATCTTATTGGTAAAATGAACCCAATTCAGTTACCACACTTATGGTAGCGTTTACGACAAATGGTTAACAAGTTTATCATAGTTTTGTTTATTTAGTAGATGTTGCCAAGCTTTTACCCGGGACAAATTTTGTCTGCGGTACGTTTGAAAATTTGTTCGTTTCGGCAAAAAATTGTCAAGTCGCGATAAACCATCCGCACTTGCAAAGTGTTAGTGATGACAGAAAATTTGTCTAAATAAACAATTTTGTCGCTAGTGCGGATAGGCCCTTATCTCACCAACGAGTTCTTTGATCTGTAGCCGCTCAGGTGGTGGAGCAATCCACCTCGATTTTTCGTGCTCGTTTCAAAATGGTTAACATCTTCCTTTATGCAACAACCGGGCTTAAAATAAAGCTTCACCAGCCCTAAATATATGAAATTATTGTGCCTGCTGTCGTTATACGCACCGCGTTCTGGTTGCGTCTTTGAATATCTTTACAAACAAACACTTACAATGCTGGAATTTCGTCAAACTGCGTGTGAACTAATAATTTTCCAGAAGCAATCTAATCTGGGATTATATTACTAACTGTTTTCCATCTGAAAACCCAAACTGATAAGTGCAATGATATCAGGTTTTTAAGGTCAAGAAAGAGCGATCGCCAAGGGAGGAGATCTTTAATGAGGGTGAATCCCTCATTAACGACAAATTATCACGCAAAATCAAATCCTGCAATAATAGGTGAAAGAAGTAGGAATCTTCTGGTCATAGCATTTGCTTTAATCGCTTTGGATTACCCGGGAAAAATTACCACCTTCTTTAGCCATTAGCTATTTTTGAAATCACAAATACATCTTACTTTATTTCACTAGTTTGATGTTTGACCGCGACTCAGGCCACAAAACGTTCTTAGAGGATGCATTTGAAAACGAGGCGAGGATGATTCCTGGGGGGAACTGGAGCCCAGCCTCTGCACCTTGGACGAATGTGGTAAGTCTGTGATATTCACAATGCACGCTGTTTCAAGTTTTTTGTGTCTTATATTCATTTCCTTTTTGCGTGTATCTGAGATGTCTTGGACTGTCAAATGTTTATCGGCCCAAAATTGTGTTAATAATCGTTTTTTTCCTGTTTCACAGCATGGTGACAAAATTGACGAGAAAGAGAAGATAAAATGTCCAGAAGGCTGGGAATGGACTGGAAACTGGCAGGTCGATGACAATAGAGCTGTAGACGACGAAGGTATCGTTAAGACTGAAACATTGGGTTAATTTAAACACTACTGGACACATTTAAATTCCAATAGCAATTACAAATTGAGAATCGACCCAAAAGCCAAGACTAGCCAATTTAAACGTTAGCGCTCTGATGCACCCCTCCTCCTAGATCACGCTGTCCCTAAGGAACAGCAGTATGCTCAATTTTTTTGTCATTATTATTTTTTAAACAACAAAAAGCATCTGCAATTTCGTTCATCAAAGATACCTGTCACCTCTTAGCCGCATGTATTGATGACAAAACAATACAGTTTATGACCAAAGGAAAGAACAGAGAGATTCAAGAGGGCCAAGTTGTTCTCGAATATGAACTAATATTGGCTGCATTTGCAATTTATGTAATGCATTAGTTGGTCGATTGACAGCTTTGCTTAAATTTAGGATGGGAGTATTCTGTCGATGTATCATACGGAGTGTATGGTGCCATTCAAAAGGCTTACCATTTGGTGAGGAGAAGACGATGGGTCAGGGAGAGATTATTGAAAGATCCAAAGGCTGCTATCAAACAAGTAGGTCAAAAATAACCGTATCTTGATCTGAGTTACCGATATATATGCATGTGCTCTTGCATGAAGGGAGTAGGAATATAACAAACAAAAAATAAAGAACCTCATCTGCTTGAAACCAAGGTAATAAGTTACTGTTAGCTCAAGAATTCATTAGTACGCCTTGAATTTCGATTGAAGGGTTTGCACCCAATTTCAAAACTTAGCGAGACTTAATCTTGCAACAAGCTGAGACTTGGGACGGTTTTTTGAGAATCTCAAATGAATACATCAACATGGGGTTTTGTCCAGCCTTAGGTCTTGTTTCCAGTGAGAAAATTTAAGCGTTCCCTTGTTCCATATGCTAAATGAGATTTTTCAGGAATGCTGAGGGAATTTCGCTTGAGGATTGTTTGCTTGGAAAAGATACAAGTGGTATGCTTCTGCATAACAAACGCTTTTTTTTCTAATTTTAGAAAGAGCTTGAAGAATTCGAGAAGGA